CCCCGCGCTCTCACGGCAACGGCGCAAACGCGGGTACCGCGCATGGATTTGGCCGAGTCTGAGGAAGACATCTCAACCCGCCTCTTCTCGCTGCTGGGATGAGATTTGCCGCCGGATCCCTCCGCCTCCCGCCCAGCCGAGAGAGGCCGCGGAAAGAGAGGCGGGCTCCCCTCCGCGCATGCGCCCTCTGGCTGCCGCGTCCGGCCATGCGCAGTGTGAAGCGCTGCTGAATCGCGCGGCGCGGCTGAGGCGGCGATGCGGAGGCGGCGGCGGGGAAAGTCCGGCCGGGCGGCGGCGGCGCTTCCGGAGGCGATCGGGGCGCTCAGCTGGGCCTTACCGGGGGAGCGAGTCTCTCCGGAGACCTTCCGCTTGGCCAAGTTCGACCGGCCGGAGGCGGTGGGTGCGGAGGAGGAGAGGAGGGCACTTTGCACGTGCTCAGGGGCGCCCCCGTCCCCGTGCTTATCGGGCCGGAGGCGTCTCGGGCGGATGTCCAGGAAGCCGGCGCACGAGGAGGCGGACGGGCTGTTGCGGGCCCCTTTGCCGGGCGGCGGCGGGGTGGGGGGCTGTTTAGGGTGGGTGGCCACAGCCAGGGGATCCCTCCAGGAGGGCGCCTGTTCAGAGGTTCACACCCGGCTTTTCTCTGTCTCACAACCTCCTTCCCTCTCCTCCATTTTATCCTCACATCAGCCCTGTGAGGTAGACCTGTCACGGGACAGAAGGGTTAGGCCAAGGACACACACCCAGCGAGATGCATCTGAGTCTCTCAGATATTCCTCAGACACAGAACACTACAAAATGCCTGGTATTATTTATTACAAACCTTACAAGTCAGCTGGGGTCCAAGGTGCTTAAAAAGGTAAAGGTTCCCCTTGCTCGAAAGCCAGTCGAGTCCGACTCTAGGGTTGCGGTGCTCATCTCCGTTTCCAAGCCGAAGAGCCAGCGCTGTCCGAAGACGTTTCCGTGGTCATGTGGCCGGCATGACTAAACACCAAGGCGCACGGAACGCTGTTCCCTTCCCACCGGAGCGGTACCTATTTATCTACTTGCAGTGTCTTGCTTTCGAACTGCTAGGTTGGCAGGAGCTGGAACTAAAGACGGGAGCTCACTCCGTCATGCGGCACACTCAGGTCTCGAACTGCTGAACTACCGACCTTCCACAGCCTGCAGTTCAGCATCTTCACCACTTGAGCCACCGCAGCTCCAAGGTGCTTAGCAACATCTAGAACAACAGTAAAAAGACAGAACCCTACAATAGATCCAGGTGGGCGGCAGCCTTGTTGGTCTGAAGCACTAGAACAAAGTTAAGAGTCCAGAGGCACATTTAGGACCAATACACTTTGATTCGAGGTGTGAGCTGTCCTGTGCAAAGCACACTTCCTCAGGTACACTGACATGGAAGCAAACAGTTCCTATGTAGAGACAGATGCCTCACTGAGTTGTATGCTAATATGCTGTTCACCTATGTGGAGGCATCTGTCGATATATATGAACTGTTCGCTTCCATTTCAGTGTATCCGAGGAAGTGTGCATGCGTGCAGAAGCTCCTATCTTGAATAAAACTTTGTTAGAACCATACAGTAATTACAGATGCTCATGTATGCAACTAGTATGCCCTGTGTGCCAACGGCTCAAGAAACACTGCTCAGTCACCCCCCACACCCTCCTCACTCATTGTCTTACTTCCCTTCCAGAATATCAAGAAGATGGGAACTTTCCTCATGTGTTTTGGAAGGCTAGGACTGTATTTGGGGTACTCATTGACCACAGCTAGACAGGGAGGCTACCCTTTTACTTAAAAATCCTTGCCTCTTTCTGTCTCCAGCCTACCAGACTGTGCATTTTGCCTAGGTGACATTGGACTAGGTATTGTAACTTGACATCCAGAGAGAAGCCTTCCCAGCGATTCTGCTAAACGGGAGAGTTATTGATTTATTTACTTCTTTCATACCCCACCTTTTTTTGCAATAGGACTCCATAGAGGCTAACATAGTTTTCCTCCATTTTATCCTCACCACATCCCTGTGGGGCAGGTTAGGCTGAAAGTACATGTGACTGCCCCAAAGTCACCCAGCAAGCTTCCATGTAAGATGTAAATACCAACAAAATCCACTTTTCAGAAGCATACAATCTAAGCAAATTAAATGTTTAGTTGCACAGTCAAGTCCGACTCTTCGCGACCCCATGGACCACATCGCGGCAGGCCCTCCTGTCTTCCGTTGTGCTCCGGGCTTTGCTTAATTTCATGTTCATTGCCTTGATAATACTGTCTAACCATCTCATCCTTTGCCGTCCCCGTCTTCTTTGACCTTCAATCTTTCCCAGCATCAGGGTCTTCTTCTCCAGGGAGTGCTCCCTTCTCATTTGGTGGCCAAAGTATTTGAGCTTCAGCTTCATTATCTGGCCTTCCAGGGAACAGTCAGGGTTGATTTCTTTTAGGATTGACTGATTTGTTCTTCTTGCAGTCCAAGGGACTCTCAAGAGTCTTCTCCAGCACCATAGTTCAAAAGCACCTATTCTTCGGCGCTCGGCCTTCCTTACAGTCCAACTCTCGCAGCCATACATGATTACTGGGAATACCATTCCTTTGACCATGCGGACTTTTGTTGGCAGGGTGATGTCTCTACTTTTTATTATGCTGTCAAGGTTTGCCATCGCTTTCCTCCCAAGGAGCAGGAATCTTTTAATGTCATGGCTGCAATCACCGTCTGCAACCCCATGGACAGTAACAAAAAGCAAATTTAATATCCTTTAATAAATAAACAGCATATCTGTAATCCACAGAAGATTCCTATTGTAAATCATAAAAGACCAAAAGTGTTCTTGATTTATTGTTTTTGTCAGTGGTGGGTTTACAAATTTTATAACTGTTCCACAATACGTAGAATTAACATACTAGAAATGCAGATGCAATGTTAATATGTTATTTATCATGCCCAACCAGCCATTCTTTGCAGTCTTATTTCCAAGGTCTGAAAAGATGCAAAATATAATGTATAATTATTATTAATAGTTTTTTAAAAATAATGTATACAATATATTCAGGCTAGAATATATATTAAGCATGGCATAAAGAAACCAGTGAATATCAGTGGGTAAAGAATATCGATAAAAGCCAATTTGCAATTTCCTAGGGAATGTAACTAACAATAAACAAAAAATAATGTATAAAATATATTCAGGCTAGAATATGTACCAAGCATGGCATAAAGAAACCAGTGAATATCAGTGGGTAAAGAATGTCGATAAAAGCCAATTTGCAATTTCCTAGAGAATGTAACTAACAATAAAGCCACATGAGGTATCTACTTTTTAAATGGTGGTCGGTAAAAGATTTTAAATTCGGTTAAAGCTTTAGAGAGAGAGATGTAACTGAAACCTTTCCAGTATTTTATTTTGGTAGTTGAAAGTTGAAGCTTCTTATTTTTCACTTAAACATATTCATTCACATTCTTGAGACCCAGATCTTTCATTCAGGTCACCACCACTCCTTTAGCAAAAGGGATTCTAAATGCTTTCACTGATCTAGATACAAACGTAAGAAATTGTTTCACGGGATCCTACAGAAGGTCCACGTAGTACAACATTCTGTCTCTAGCAGTCAGGCAGCCAAATGTCTCCTGAAAGCTCACAAACATGGCATCAGGGTGGTTAAACACCCCCCCCCCCAATCCTTGGCCCTGCCAACTAATATTCAGGTGTACCCTGCCTCTGAATGTAGTTCTGCAAAGTTAACTGTGGCCAAAGTTCTATCTTCCACGAAGTTGTCTCCTCCTTAAGTCACATTCAGGTGGGTAGCCAGGTTGGTCTGAAGCAATACAACAAAGTCTGACTCCAGTGGCACCTTCAAGACCAACAAAGTTTAATTTTGTGTATAAGCTTTTCGGTGCACGCACACTTCTTCAGATACATTGAAACAGACTTCCTCAGTTGTTGGTCTTAAATGTGCCACTGGATTCAGACTTTGTTCTATTTCCTCGTTAAGTCAGTTTCAGTTCCCACATTTTTTGGTATTCCATAAGCAAATAATATCTTAGTAAACTACAAGGAGAGCTAAAACTGTGGAAGAGGAGGCCAAATCGTTCTTTAAGAGGTACATGTGCGTTCGGCCTCAGTCTGTGACAACAGTGAAAAAGGAAAGTTCCATGCTAAGGATTATCAGGAAAGAGACAGAAAATAAAATGGCTGCAATTTTTTACTCATTTAGAGGGCAGCTAATGTGATCCCTGAAAGGGTATCACAGAGCTGGAGAAGGGAGAGTGATCTGGAGTTTACAGCCTCTTCCCTGGGAGGAAATCTACTGTCTTTTTTTGTTGTTTCGTGCTTTAGTTTAGAGGGGGGGGACCTATTAAGAGAGGCTAGATAGAGGTATATAAAATTATGAATAGTATGGAGAAAGTGAGTGGAGGGGGAAAACGAGTCCTCCTTCCACAACACCCTATTTATTTTATTACTTTGGGTGTGGACCCAAAGCAGCTGGCCTCCTCCTCCTCCTCCTCCTCCCCTCAGTTGTGTCCTCAAGAGCACCCTGCAGAATAGGCCAGAGGGGTGTGTGTGACTGGCTTCAGGTCGCCCAGCAAGCTTTCGTGACAGAGCAGGGATCTGAACCTGGGTCTTCCAGATCCTAGTTCAGCACTCTAATGGCTACACCACACGACGCACACGACACCCCCCCAGTGAAACTGGTTATAGGTAGATTCAGGATGGATGAAAGAAAGTACTTCACAGGATGCAGAATTAACTTTTGGAATTTACTGCCACAAGGTACGGGTGTTAGTTTAGGTGGTTTTGTAAGGGGATTGGACTAATTCATGGAAGTCTGCGTTTACTGGACAAATGTATGCACTATGACAAGTAAATGGAACCTCTCTATTTTGAGGCATTGTGTGACTGAATACCACTAGCTGGTGAGCACCAGGGGAAGGCATGAAGCAGGCCGCACACTAGATTTGATCTTTTGCACAGTTCGGTTGTTGTTTGTGAACCAGTGCTGTGGTCAGACCACTTCCTCCTAAGGGTCAGTCTGGGGATGGCCGTTCCCCCCTGCAGGGGCAATGAGCATATTTATACTTGCCCGCAGAGACTAATGGATCCTGATGGTTTCCAGAATGCTCTGCGGGATTTATCTGGAGCTGCCCACAGTTCCCTTGATGAGCTGACTGAGATTTGGAATAGAGGTCTCCAGGAAGCTATCAATCAGATTGCTCCTCAACGTGCCCTCGTGTCCCTCTGACTCCTTGGTATAATGAGAGTTTAAGAGATTTTAAGAAGTTGCTCAGAGACTAGAGTGTAATTGGTGACGAATGCTGGACGAAGCTGTGGGAACACACTACAGAGCCCAATTGAAGGCCTATGAGGTGGCAGTGAAAACGGGGAAGAGGGACCACCTCTCCCGCTACAGCCCCCTGCGCTCCCTTTGGTCATTGTCTGGGGGCCTCTTGCAGGTGCCTGGCCACAGGATGGCTCAGTTAGCTGTGACCAGGGGAAGGGCCTTCTCGGTTGTGGCCCCTGCCCTGTGGAACGCCCTCTCGGATGATGCCTGTACCCTGCCAGACTTGTTTAGTTTCTGCAGGGCATGCAAAGCTGAATTATTTAAGGGTAACCACGTTTTTGGGCTGTTTTAATAGTGGTATGGTGATAGTCACGTATTTAATGTTTTAATATTTGTTACTTGTTTTTATGTTTTTACCTTATTGGTTTTAATGATGTAAGTCGCCTTCAGGTGAGTGGCAACTATAAAAAAATCTAAAAATTAAATAAATCTAATAAATAAAATATTGGGTTTGTACCCTGGGCTTCCTTGAGGCATGCTGTCATGTGGAAACAGCTGGACCCAAATGGGCTTTTGGTCAGATCCAGCAGGGCTCTTCCTATGATCTCATGGAATTTGCTGTCTCCTCTTATAAACAGAGTGTCGCTTTCTGGAAGCTGCTGTACTCTCTACTGAAGCTGATCCAAGGCGGAGAATGGAAGGAGCCTGTTGATACAGGTAGCAAAATACTATGCCAATTTATGCTTAAGCAGAGTTAAGTGTGCCTGAGTCCTTTGGGCTCGATCCGATGACTCCTTTCTGCTGCAGGTTCCTCTTGCAGATGTAGCAGAAGGGGTCAGTAGCTCTAACTGACTGATTTCAGGGAACTTAACGTGGCCCAAACTTCTGCAGGATCAGCTGTTGGCAGTATTGTTGTGCTTTTTCAAGGTTGGGAGAAGAAAGCACTAATACAAAGGAAGTGAAAGAGGAAACTGGTGTTTCTTTTTGTCTTGTAAAATTTCTTTTCTGTCCATCTGTTGTGCTCTGTTTGCTGCACTATATAGTTTTGGGGGGGTATCCTCTGTTAATAAATTGTTGTGTCATTGTCTTGCTATCCTTAATAAAATCAGAAGTATCCGATGCATTTCTTTTTATGCTTAAGAATTGAGAAAAAAGCAAGTTGTATTTTAAATGTGGGACATGCCAAGAATGAAAATGCAGATAACTGGTTTTATCAGATAACTTATGGTAAGTCTTAACTGCTAGTTTTTTCTGTCCAGTTCTAAAAACTGTAGTGTCTAACTCACAAAATTTTTATCAGCTGTGAATGAGAATTTTATAGAAGGATGTACTGTATTAAGCCATTCCACAAATTGTGTTAAAGTAGTTTTATCCTCATATACTAGAAAACAATAATCTATATAGCGAAAATACCTGTTGCAATATGTAAAGAAAGGGTTCACATTAGCATACAGAATAAAAGTTTCCTCAAAATTTCGCATGAAAATATTAGCAACTGAGGGCACAACCACACTGCCCATAGAGATTCCATTATTTTGTAAATAAAAATTTCCATCCCATAGAAAAAAATTGTTAGAAAATAATGTCTAGGAGGTCCATCAGAAAGTGTGTTGGAAGGTTCTCATTTTGCCTGTGCTCCAAATTATCTTTAATAAGTATGCGTGCTTCTTCCAGGGGGTTATTAGTATACAAGGATTTAATGTCCAAAGGCACTAGATATGTCAATTCTGTTATCTGGATACCTTCTATTTTGTTTATAAAGTGCTTAGTATCTTTCAAATATGCTGCACCTGAGGTCTGAAACACTTAAATATCCAGAAAAAGTGTTGAAAGAGAGATATGGATTGAATCTGGAGCAGACTGCTGTGTGAAATCTTCTCGACCTTTGTATTTTTTCTACGAAGGAATAAGTGGTCGTTTTTTATTACCAGACACTAAATGATGCTATGGCTCTAACCTAGTCTCTTTTGTTACTGTATTGTTATGTGGGCATCTAGCACACATCTCTATAGTTTTGCATATCAGACTGTTTTGGGATTGTGTGTGATTCTTGTGGATAGCTTCCAAGATCTGACAGATCAAGCTAGTTAGAGAAACGTAGAACACTGGGTGTCCTCAATGGTAGCAAAGGTCATAAGTGTCAGGGTGACAGAACTTCTTGGCTGGTCTTCCTGGCTGCGGTGTTCGTTCTTTGGCTGCACCTGTTGCCCACTCAGCACCTGGCTACTGAGATTGTCAAACAGGCCTCCTGGGAAATCCAAGTAGGCTTTGCATCGGATGTTTAAGTCCTTCAGGTGGTTTTAGCGTCCGGTGTTGTGGCTCATGCGTTGACAACTGGCTTCCTGTTGTGAGCTCCAGGGATGAAAGTCTTGGAAATACTGTAGCCAGGTTATGTTTTCTCTGCCTCGGAGGCTTGGTCTTAAAATCAGTGCAGAGAGCTCTCTGCTCACCCCAGCCTATCAAGTACAATTCCCTGGAGGATCCCCTGATGCATTGGTGCCTTGTGTCTTCCTGCCCTTAAACAGGAACTGGTGGTTGTGTTCCATCGTAGCAAAATCCAGTCTCTCTTTAGCCCAGTGACAGTCAGTACTGTGGCAATCAAGGCTTCCAAGACTCAGCAGCCAGCTTTCTCTCCTTCCAGTGTTCAGCCCACTTTGAAGATGGTTCGCTCACTTGACGTAGATAGACTGGAAACTTGGCTGGCCGCCTCAGTCATCGTTTCATAGTGTGCCCCTGATGTCCAGGCTGTATCTGGTGCAGCATTTGACCATCCTGTGATCTCCTCCTGATGTAGCACCAGCAGCTGCCTCCAGGCAGGTGGGCTTGCTAGTCACCTCTTTGTGGCATTTTCCAGAGACCCCTAAATAAGGGAAGCTTACCCTACAGCTGATGTTCCTTGGGTGATTTGTCTGTGAAATCCTATAACTTGCTCTTCTTCCCCTGTGCTCGTGCCTTGTTTCTGGGAGAACTAGAGGTCTGTAGGAACTAAGCAGAAAGGCACATCCCTCTCTCTCAGGGAGAAGATTTGAATGCCAGTTCTTTGGCTAGCACCTGCTGCCAGCCCTTTTCTGCTCGCAAGGTGTGTGACTGTTCTATGTCTGGTCAGTTACAGACAAGCAATCTATCTTTCTGTCTTACTTCCTTCTTAGGCACCCAGATATGTTTTGTTAAGAGTGTGGCCTTCAGCCGTGGCTACAGAAGGCTGGAATTCTATGAGCTCCCTTCTGATGGTTCGGTGGGGAGCAGGGAGCTGCTGCTGCTGTTTTCCTGGCTCCTGTGCAGAATCAACCTGGTGGAACAGCTTTTGATGCTGAACAGAGTGAAGCTCTGGGATGAAGTAACAGTGTGCACAGTGAGTCATTTACCTTGTCTGTACATTACAAATCTTGACATTTCTCATCACTAAAATGCTACACCAGTCACTTCAGACTACTACGATGGAGAGGCCTTTATCTAAATCTTGTCTTTGTGTAATGTTCTTTAGGGGAAATATTCCTCACCACCGTGCATCACCAGTAAGGCCTCATACAAACTGGTGTCAAGCATGTAAATGGCAACCCAAGAATGTCAACAAAATATCCCATTTCTTCTCGCGTGGTGGCACATATCCCCGATAGTGGTGTGGATGTGGTGACTGTTCCAGTCTAAGGGATCATTCTCCATCCTCGAACTATCCCCTTGGAAAATGCCGAGGTGGGTAGCTGAAATTGTGAGACTGGTCCCACAGGACTATGAGGAGTAGGTGGGACACCTTCCACTTTTACTTGGAAGCGGCACTGTTAGAAGTCTGTCCAGCACCAGCCTTCTGTTTGTTTTCTGCCAGAGCAGAGGCAGCAATAAGGAGTCCTCGTGCAGTGCCTTCCCAAGAGGCTGCTTTCTTCGCTACAGAGACAGAGATGACTAGACACCCTGAACAAGGCCATTTGGTGTAGTGGTTAAGTGTGCGGACTCTAATCTGGGAGAACCGGGTTTGATTCCCCACGCCTCCACTTGCACCTGCTGATGTGACCTTGGGTCAGTCACAAGCTCTGGCACAGCTGTCCTTGAAAAAGAGCAGTTTCTGTCAAGAGCTCTCTCAGCCCCACCCACCTCACAGGGTGTCTGTTGTGGGGAGGGGAAGGGAAAGGAGTTTGTGAGCCCCTCTGAGACTCCGAGTGAAGGGCGGGGTATAAATCCAATCTCTTCTTCTTCTTCTAATGGGGAAACAGGAGAGAGCCGTCTTGATTTAATTTCCATTTCACAGCGAACAGGATGACTGTTCCTCTGTGCTGCCGGGTCCATTTTCCCCCCCCCCACCCCCCCCCCCCCGGTAACACAGGGAAGGCGGAGAGAGAAGGAGACTGGCCCAAGGTAACTCAGTGGGGATTATACGACTGCAGGGATTTGAATCTGGGTTGCCTCCGTCTGACTCTCTAGCTGCTGTAGGGTACTGTTGGAACACCAGCATCCAGAACTCAGTGTCATACTTGACCTTCTGTGGGGGCAAGACAATTGCCGTTTTTGTCTCCATATGTTCTCATTCAAGAAAATGTCAGATCAGTTTCATTTCATTACACTTGAGTGAGCAAAAGACTTTTTCTCATTTGAAATCGGGATGGGCTGCTTGTGTCTGCAGCTCCCATCTTCCTGTGTCTCATTGATCCTCCGCTGGGTTCTGTGGGGTCACAAAACTCTCTGCTCTTCAAAGCCTGGGCAATAAATTTGATTGGGCTGAGAAACAGCTGCGTTATATTCCTGTTCTCCTTGCCATTGAAAGTGGGAGTCTCTTTAATGTTAAGATGAGACCATTCAGGACACTGTGGGGGGAGGGGTGGGGGGAACAGAATTCCCCGGCCTGGGCCCCAGGTGGGTGTTACTTGCTACAGGGTAGGATCACAGTCAGGAACAACCAGATGGGTGCAGTCCTCATGGTACATCTGGAACAGGGTTTCATTCCAAAAATGCCGTGCATTCAGTTCGGCCACTGCTTCTCCATGCTTTTTAAAAATTTCTGGTAATTGTGCCTTTTAAAAGCACTGTAGATATCCTTAAAGGTTTGTCCATGATAAGTAAAAGTCTTGCATTCATGCTCTTTTCATACGAAGCCACGTATAGGTGCTCATTTCTTTCCACACCCCCCCCCCGTTGCTCTGTTGGGGAGGTGAGGAATACAGGCACAAAGGTAGCTACGCACAAACAACAGCTACAATTTAGACACAGATAGTAGCATATCTCCTACTAAGACACACATGCAACTCTTTGGGGCAGTGTAAGAGAATAAGGCTGTGGTTACACGGGCAAGGCCATTGCGCTTTGTTCCCGATGTAATTTAAACTGGGATATTTTTTTCCGAGTTGGGATGTTCACGCATCCCTCCCTCCCTGAACCGCAAGCTCGCCTCCTCCTAAACTTTTCCTGCAACTGACTTCTTTGCCTCCCTTCCCCCCCCCCCCGCCCCCCCCCCCCAGCTTCCTCCCCCAGAAGCTTTCCACGCCGCCTCCATGCCGGGGTTCGGCGGGCAGGACTTTTATCCAAGCAGGATGAGCGCTTGTTTACTCAAGCGCTCAAAGCCAGAAGGTTTTTAAAAAAATATAATCGCACAGAGCGGTCAGACGCCCCTAATCGCAATCACTGCGAAAGATGGCTGTCCAGATGGGCGAAATCGCGCATTCAGAGTGCAAGAGCCAGGAAAATACTTGATTTTCCCGGGGGCAGGAAAACCCGGGAGCATTGCGGGAGTGAGCCTGCTTCGGCACGGGAGGCGGACTGGCACATGTGAACGGAAAATTTAAATGCGAGTGGGAACAGCGGCGAACCCCCAATCAAAAGGACCGTGTGACCGCACCCGAAGAGGAGACTCAGAGCGCCTTACAAACTCCTTTCCCTTCCCCTCCCCACAGCTGAGAGAGCTCTCTCGAGAACTGTCCTTGAGAGAACAGCTCTGAAAGAACTTGTGACTGACCCGAGGTTACACCAGCAGCTGCATGTGGAGGAGTGGGGAATCAAACCCGGTTCCCCCAGATTAGAGTCCGCACTCTTAAGCACGACACCAAACAGAGTGTGCTGCTTGCAAACTGAGCTCGGAGCATCCTCACAGAGGTTTTTGTCCACCTTGGCTTTCAGACTGCGCTGGTTTTATTGGAGTGACCTCATGACGTCATCCTCTAATCGTCCACTTCCCACACTTTACTTGTCCGTGGTCTGTTGGTATGGTCTTTTCCAGAAAGAATGCCATTTATGTAAATTAGCAAGCTGTCCAGATAGGAAGACGCACAGTTTAGAAGATCCCACCCACAGCTGTATCATTTTTCTTGCCTCAGCATCCATGGCCACTTCCCACCAATGTTCCCTCTAAGCTGTGGAGACTTGTGAGCAAAAATTCTACTTTGTGAGCTACTGGCATTAAAGTTGTGAGCCAGCGACTTGGCTACTGCATGAATTTAGTTTGCTCTGGAGCCCTCCTTCTTGAGCTAAGGCAAAAACGTGTGAGCCAGAGGCTAAAATATTGTGAGCTAGCTCACACTAACTCAGTTTAGAGGGAGCACTGCTTCCCACCCCCAGCACTAGAGGGCTTTTTTTTGGGGGGGGGGTTTAAAAATAAGAAATTGCTGTAGCACAATGATGTTGCAATGATCTATTGCCTCAACCTGCCAGTTTTTCTGAATCTCCTCCCCCCTCCCTATGTCCCTTTTGATTTCAACAAACTGCTGGTTTGTGGTCCGGAAGATTGAAGGAAGACCTTGTAACTTTCCTTGGCTTTCACTACTGCTTGTCTTACCTTCTGGGGAAAGGCCCATTCTTCTCTGCCACCCGTTAATCATCTAAATTCTAGTAAAGACCAAGAGAAGGGTGTTTGTGCCACTCCCCCCCCCCAAGTCCAGGACAGTGGCAGAGGGGTGGTTGCTAGAACAGACAACCCAGTGCCTTCGCCGTCTGGATTCACTGTATGCAGTTAAGGTTTAGGATATTGCCTTCGTATTCCACCCATCCTAAGAAGCTTCTGCTGAGCTCCCAGCAGGGCACAGCTAACCCACTGGAGAGGCTTTTGTAAATGAGGAGAAATGCACTCGTCAGGTGCGTTACTTCTCAATTACAGAAGCCCATCCAGTGGGCTAGCTGCGCTGCTGGGAGTCCAGCAGTAACTTCTTCGAATGGGTGGAATGTCACTCGTCAGGTGCATTTCTGTGATGAAGGAGAAGCAACTCAGAATGGCAGAGATTTAGGGGAAAGCCAGAGTTCTTTCACTGATTCCAATAATTTTTGGAGATACAGCTTTTGCGCTCTCTCTCTCTCTCTCTCTCTCTCTCTCCCACACTCTCTCTCTCTCTCTCTCTCTCTCTCTCTCTCTCTCTCATGCACACACACACACACTGTCAGGTTGATGAAGAGGATGAGGCTTGTTTATTTCCCAAGCCAATCCATAAGCCTGCGGCATTCCTGAAATGATAAAATGCCTCCAGTTTTTATCGAGAATTCTGTTTCCAGATAATTCTAGCAGCTCATTCATCCCTGATTCCCAACAGTAAATGGGATTGTCCTCAATTAAGTGGTGCTCCCGAAGAGTTAGGAGTGGGAGGTCAAATTCTGATTCTGTGATAATTGCCAGGGTTGGTTTTTAAGTAGCCTTTGAGAGGAGTCATGTAAAATATCTCTGGGTTGTGACTGAGAACAGATCTCATGCTTGCCAGTGGTTCTTCTGCTGTTGTGCTGCCTTAACCTGCCAGCAGGTGGCAGCTGAGCAGCGAGGCCGCCCGCCTCTTCGGAGCAGGGAGCCTGTTCTCCGGAGCTCTCCTGGTGCAGGGGGACCTTGCAGCTCCCTCCCCAGGTCGAGAACCAAGCCGCAGAAGAACAAAGAAATCGGACCCTGAGTTTGTGCTGCTCTTGGTAGTGCCTTGTGCAGGCGCTCAAGCCAGTGCAGGGTAGAGGTCAGCAGAGGTCTTGAGCTCATTTGTTACGAGGGCCGGATCTGAGATGAAGGTCACTTTGCTGGGCTGGGCTGGGCTGGGCTGGGCTGTGCCATGCAATGTTTGGATTTATGGGAAGACCACAATGTTCCTAAAGTTAAGCAAGAATTAATCATGGCAATGATTGCCGTGGCAAAGAATATCATAGCCATAAGATGGAAAGAGAGAGATCCCCCTACAGTGCAACAGCGGTATCTCAAATTATGGAATTATTTTATTTTTGATAAAATTACAGACAATTCAATAAAAATAGAAGATCCAGCCAGACGATCCACTTTAGTGGACAAATGGTTTCCTTTTATAGAATTAAAGTTTCAGAATTCTGCAGGTTGCAGTAATTCCATGATTTTTTTTTACTATATGTCTTTAGTTGCTTTCCATTGATCATAAATCTAGCTCAATTTGTTTAAAGGCCTGGCCTTTTGTTACGAGGGCTTATATCAGGGGTGTCAAACATGCGGCCCAGGGGCTGGATCAGGCCCCCGGAGGACTTCTCTCAGGCCCGCAGTGGAACTGGCTGTCTCCATTAGCTGTGCATCCTGGCCAAAATGGCTGCCACCAGTGTTGCCTCCATCCTCCTGGTGCTTGGGGGGTTTGGTGACCCTCTTGTGCATTACTTTGGTGAGTCATTTGATGGAGAGACAAGTGTGATTGATTGATTGATTGCTGCAGACACTGGGGGCTGGCTGAAGTAAGTGGCTGGCTGCTTTCTCTTTGTCAGCAAGCATCGAGCTCTTCAAATCGAGAGCCCCATATCCGTACCAGAGCAGGCATCCTTCAGAGACCTCTTGGAGGCTGTGGCGGCTGAGCTGTAGTACTGACCGAGAGTGTCTCTCTGGTGCTCGTGAGCCTGCCTGACCGACCAGCTAGCTACCAAGGTTGCGGCTCATCGCACACCCTGGCCTAAATGTCAATTGATTTTTCTCAGTTGCAGAAGCCCCGCGAAATAGGTCTTTAAATAATGTGAACTTTTGAAACGAAAGTTTAGAAGAAAAATCTGGAGGGTGGAGGGCCCGGAGAGGAACAACCTGGCATAAGGGGGGGGTGGGGTGGATGAGAAAAAAGTAACAAGAAAGAAAAAAGTAACAAGAAAGGAAGCTATTCAGACCCGTTTCAGAGGGTAGCTGTGTTGGTCTACAGTAGGTATGAGTCCAGTAGCAATTTATTTATTTATTTATCTGATTTGTACCCTGTCCTCCCCGCCAAAGCAGGCTCAGGGTGGCTCACATAAAATTCCAAGAAATAAAACAGCAATCATAAATATAGACCTAAAACACAAGATTTTTTGGGGGGGGTAAAAGCTTTGAAGAGTCAGACGAACGGGAACTTTAATTCTTGAAAGCCCTTGTGTTTGTCTCTGTGGTGCTCCTGGACGGCGGAGGGGGATGAATGGGGGGTAGGAGGGGGCGTTCAGGAGCATGTGTCGCCTTAAGTCTTGCCTTCGCCAGGAGGTGGCCTTGGGGCAGTTCACTTTTGGCCCAACCCTCTGCAGAATGGGTCCTGTTTGCTTTAGCAGGACGTACTCTGCAAGGCGTGCACATAGAGCCGTGCAGCCTCACAGCACAGTGAAACGAGGCGTAGATTGGTTGCCGGTCAAAAAGCAGCCGCCGCTTGTTGTTTCTCAATCTTAGTGTGACGCCACCCTGAGAAGCTGGAGGGAAGGGAAAGATCCGGCTCCAGAAGCCCACTGCGAAGGCCAGAGAGATGCCCGATACTTGCAGTGGATGAATGGCCGCCTGCAGTTCCGATGGCGGAGCTGGCACGCCGAACGGCAGGAGCAGTGCAAGCTCTGGCACAAGGTACTTGTTTTGAGGATCAAAATGGCACAGATTGTACTTCTGGAGGGATCTTTTTCTAGTCTTTCTGTCGGTCTCAGAAGACAGTTAAAGTGGGTTCCGCAAGAGTTCAGAATCTTAACTTAAAAGGCATTCCCAAATAAAGTCCTCACTTGGTGTCAGAAGGCCTGTCGTGAGGAGTTCTAGTTCTGTAGGGAGGAAATCTAGAAATGGCCACCAAGAAGGCGCCGCTGCACCTCCCCTCCTCGTGCCTTTCCAGTTCTGGGGTCTCACTGCAGTGCCTGCTTGGACAATCCTGGGACTAGGCGAGTGCATGTGGGTGGAGGCGGTCTTTCAGGTAATTTGGATTCAAGTCACGTAGAACTTTGAAGGCCAAAAGCCGCACTTGGTCCTGAGCCAGGAATCAAATGCCGTTTGTTACACATTTCTGCCCTTATACCCAAGACAGTTGCTGTAGCCCCCCCCCCCCGAACCCCAGAGTATGAGAGAGATGCAGTAAGGACTTGGGGGAGGTCTCCCATTTACCTGCCTGGGACAGGGATTCATCCACTCCTGGCCCCAATTTCCCATCCCCAGTGAATTGAGGAGCAGGAGAAAAAAATGGCCTCCATGTAGTGATGCTGCATGTCTCTATGGCAAAGACCATAGAGACCGGGGGAGGCAGCCTAGAGCATCACCTCAAAGTGGCATCACATCCTTACCAAACTCTGCCCTCTCTAGGCAAAGCCTCCAAAATCTCCAGATGTTGACCAGGGCAGTCTTGGGAACCCCAGTGGGGCGGGGGTGGTGGTGGTCTTTGCATGGTGCTCCACTTGCTGTTGGTTGGATACAGCCCACTGACTCCAAATATGTGCTCGTGCTCGTGGTGTAAAAGAATCGACAGTGTGAGAGGTGATGCATGTGCATTGCTGTTTCTAATCCATGCCTTCATTCCAGGTACATTCATATACCGTTGGTTCTCATGCTGACCCCACAATTGGCCATTTCTCCGTCATGGAAGCAGATGCTGTGAGACAACCGGATACTTGCTCACAGGTAATTTTCTTTATGTGGCATAATGATGCCCTGGAAACCCGGTGAAGGGGATCCACCAGTAAATCTGTATGTATTTGAACTTGAGTGCTGTTTTCAGTCCTTGTGCCGTATTCTGCTTGCAAAGTGGGAATTGCTGGTTTTGTGGCTGCTAGCCATCATGAGCCAAGGGACTCTCTGCATTCAGAGACCGTGAACCTCCGAAACCCAGTGCTAGGAGGCAGTGTCGGGGAGGCCTTGGCCCCTCTGTCTTATGTCCAGCTGCTCTGCTGTGAGTGTGTGTGTGTGTGTGTGTGTGCACGCACACCCTCACACTGTCCCATTCCAGCCTCAAGAAGTTCACCATCTTCGGGCTCTGGAAAGTGCTCTTCAGGCCTCTCCACTCGGTGCCAAGGTAGTAATTCTTGGCATCTCTTTCTCTGTGTGTAGAATCCTGCCAGGCTGCCTGCCTTTAACTAGCAAGGAGTTACTGCTGTTTTGGCTTCTAATTGTTCGTCTATTTATCTGCATTAAAATATTCAATTCAAATATTTTTCCCTCTCTCTCTCACACACACACACACAAATGCCGGAGGCAGCTTGCAAGAAGATCATTAAAACAGATTAGTCATTCACTAATTGTCTTCCCTTTATCTCTGTTCCCTTTCCTTTCCCCTGCAAATGTCATGTCAGTTGTTTACCTTCTTCATTTATTACATCAGACCACTAAAAACTTGGCATGGAGGTTTTGTGCAGATTTTGCCTTACTAGTTATTGCTGTTTGACTGAATTCCAATCATTTTTTTAAATTAATGTATGCTGTCTCCTGCATGGGGATAGCCATGTACACTGAGAGCCCTTTTGCTATAATGGTTAGAGTGGTACAAATAAAGGGAAAAATACTGTGTTTACAGGTGGACACAAAATCTCCTGTAAAATGCAAACCTCTATACAATGTTGAAATGTCTGCAATGTTTCATGTGGACGTATATGTATAAATTGTAATAAAGACTTACTGTAAATAGCATTTTTCCAACCTAGTTAACTTCGGACAGGCTTTTGCCATCATTTAGTTCTGAGTGGCGATTCCCACATTTGAATTGAATAGCTCTGAGCTATGCATACTTGAGAAGCCTCTAATCTCTGTGTACATGCCTGGCTTGCCAACCGACAAACAAGCTCAAGCCTTGAAAATTTTGGATTGAAAGGGGAAGATAACCGGACACCCGTCATCGGTCTTGCCTATTTTCGGTAATCTTTGCTGTTGGTTTTTTTCTAATTCCGACATCAGTCTTGTAATCCCTTTGAGTTGGATTCTCGTGGAGACTTTGTATTAGCCTCTGTGTTTGGCTTTTCATATTGATATTTGTTGCTATTTACAGTAAGTCATAATAACAGACTATTACACCGTTTGAGGTCTTTATTACAATTTATATGCAGGCATTTCAGCATTGTATAGAGGTTTGCATTTTGCAGGAGGTTTTGTGTCTACCTGTAAACATAGTGGGGTTTTTTTTTTCTTTGTTTGTACCATGCAGCGGTTAGAGTGTCAAGACTAAGATCGGGGGGGGGGGGCAGTCTCAAGTCCCTGCTCCGTCATGGCAGCTTGCCGGGCGACCTTGGGCCAGTCCCACACTCTCAGCTTCACCTACTTCACAGGGTGGTTATGAGGGTAAAATGGAGGAAGGGAGAACCATGTGGGCTGTTTGGGTCCCCATTGGGGGGGAAAGGCAGGGGTATAAACGAAGCAAGTAAATAAATAAAAGATGTCTTGCCAGTAAGGAAGTCGTCAACTACTTTTTGACAATGGGAAAAAATATTTGGAGATTATGCCCAGACCTCCGTTCAAGGCCGGGGTCCCCAGCGTGGTGCCCGCCAACACTTCTTCTCTGGCGCCTGCTCAGTGTTCTTAGGAAGTGGGTGGGGCCGGGTGGGCTTCTGATTGGCCACTGGAGATTTGATGGGCTGTGCAGATTTTTCAAACGTTGCTTTGGCAGCAGCTGCCACCACAATACACGGATCTGTGCTGGATTACTGGAGTTAAACTGTGGCAATCATTTTGTGGCTGACTCTGCCTCCTGTTCCTGCGCCCACCGTGCCGTGTCAGAATTCCAAATGTGCCCGCAGGCTCAAAAAGATTGGGGACCCCTGGTTTAAGAACCGGCCATGTGGAATATAGAGCTGGCCTTCCGGAATGTAGAACACCTGTGCTTCACCATTGTTACCTGTTGGTTTCTGGGCCCAGTCTAAGGCAGCAGCTTTTAACTTGCACCATGTTGTAACTCAGGACCTCAGCCACAGCGAAGCTCATTGCCTGTGTGCAGCTCACAAAGGACGCGTGCAAGGTCGGACCACAGTGTCATAGTCTGAGCAATCTGCCTTCTAACCCCTTTGTCCTTAGAAAAAATCGTGTTCATGTCCAGCTTGATGAAGGGTTTTGGTGACCTCGAAAGCTTGCCCAACATGTTCTGTCCATTCGGTTGTTCCTAATAGGAGGTATCACAGAGATCTTCTTCGTGGTCTCTGTGCATCAAACCAATGGGATTATGCGCCTGCGCTGATCCAAATTGGTGGTATGCAGAGCTCACAAAGGGATTTTTGTGCCTCCTTCCCAGGCATGCGCGGGAACCCCACTGCGCATGCCCAAGGAGGAGGGGCACGGACATCCCGCCAGTTCTCTTCTGACCGCCGCGCTGTTAACAGCTCGTTTACTGCTGGTCGGTGAAGAAGCGTTTTCCCCTCTCATGAGGGATTATTGAAATCGTACTTTTTTCACTTACAGTGTTTATTTTATTTTATTCTTTAGAAATATGTATTTTTTAAAAAAGGGACTTTTTGTTGAGGGTTGCTGCTGCCTCAGGCGGCCTGCCCCCCCCCTCTGTGATCCATGCTATGGTCACCTCGAGGTTGGATTACTGCAATGCTCTCTACATGGGGCTGCCCTCGGGGCAACTTCGGAAGCTGCAGCTGGTGCAGAACGCCGCGGCCAGGTTGTTAATGGGTCTCCCGGTGAGGGAGCACATTCAACCTGTGCTGAGGGTGCTGCACTGGCTGCCAATAGCATTCCGGATACACTTCAAGGTGCTGGTTATGACCTTTAAAGCTCTTTAGGGTCTGGGGCCTGTCTACCTGCGGGACCGCCTTTCCCCGTATGTTCCCCCAAGAGCACTGAGATCTGAGTTGCAGAACCGTTTAGTCCCCCCTGGCCCTAGGGACGCCAAATTAACAGCTACAAGAACCAGGGCGTTTTCCCTAGCTGCACCAGTATGGTGGAATCAGCTCCCAACTGACATCTGTGCTCTGTGGGATCTCCATCAATTTCGCAGAGCAGTAAAGACTGAGCTGTTCCGCCAAGCGTTTAACAGCCCAGATCAATCATTCTAGCACTTTATATGGATGGCCGCCATGTGAAAACTGTATTGCTCTAATTGTAATTTCACTGTTAATAATTTATATTGGTGTTATTGATTGTTTTTAGATGTATTGTATGAATTTTTACTGTTTTTTAATTGTTGTAAGCCGCCCTGAGCTGCTTTGGCGGGAGGGCGGGATAAAAATCTAATATATTAGTGTCTAGACTGACAGGAATGACAGCCACTGTAGCTAGCTCAAACTGGTTCTGGCAAGAGCTATACTGCTTGGCAAGAATGACTCAGCAAAGACTGCTGATTGGCTGTTGGTTGTATATATTTGTACAGATGTTGTATAACTGTTCCCTTCTCCTGAATGACTTGTCCGGCGAAGCACTTTGTTGGTGTATACCAGAATAATATAAATATTGTAAATAAACTGTATATAGCTAGCACTAGACAAAGTGTGGTCTGTGTTGCTGTGTGGTCTGGCACCTTACCTGTTCTGGACTAAAGCAGCATACAACACAGCGCGACACGAAGGACTTTTTTCTTTTGGACCATTCTACTCAACCTAGCAGTTTGAAAGCAAGAAATTGCAAGTAGATAAATAGGTACCACTTCGGTGGGAAGGGAACAGCGTTCTGTGCACCTTGGTGTTGAGTCATGCCGGCCACATGACCACGGAAACGTCTTCGAACAGCGCTGGCTCTTCGGCTTTGAAACGGAGATGAGCACTGCAACCCTAGAGTCGGATTCGACTGGCTTTTGAGCAAGGGAACCTTCACCTTTACCTTACTCTTTTATTGCCAAAAGAGGGGTCTGTTTCAAACTGTGTATTGGCTGTGGCAGCAAACTTGCCCCTCGTGACGGCCACACACTCTGCATTATTTGGCTTGGGGAGACTCATCGTCCAGACGCTTGCCGCCATTGTGCAAAGTTCTCGAACCAGACTCACAAGAACAGAGCTGTGAGTCTTCGAGTAGCGCTTTGGGAATTGGCATTGACCCCCGTGCCTGTGGGATATATGTCGGCTGAGACTCCTTCAATCTCCCAACCTGGGGCGACCATGTTGACATCGAGAGGTACTTCGGCACCAAATCCCCCACACCGTGCAAAGTCGGCATTGGACAGGGGACAGCATGAGAAAGCTCTTCTCTCACTGGCACTGTGCGTAAGTCTCAGAATCTGAGCGGCGAGAAAGTGCAAATGGGCTCTGCATTACCCCGTCTTCAGCGGGCGCAACCCGACGTCATTGATACTTCAGTACCGGAGCTGCCTATGATTGAGTTATTGGACTCATCCATCCGGCACCTGAACCCCCGGTATCGGAGGCTTCTGTCAACTCCGGACCAATTTCGGCCTTGCCATTTGAAGTTGAGGAAATGGTCCCGTGTCAGCCTCGTACAGATCGTTCCCAGTCAGTGATTTCCCGGAAAGTGATCGGTCGGCACCGGGCTCTCGACACCGTCGATCCCAATCGCCTAGACGCGAGGAGTATCGATATCGACCTGAGGAGTGCCCAGAGTACCGTCATTCCAGGCCCATGCTCTCATGCTCGCCCAAACGGGAATTGAGACCGCACTCCCCGACCTACTTTGACCCACCTGTACTGTGGGACCATAGGGGGCACATGCCTTGTTCGTTCACATCGTATCCGATGTCGACATTGATG